CGTGTGAATTGATGTCTGCTGTTCTGCTGAAAAGTGAAAACAATCGCTGTATTGTTCTCACCTCCTGTAAAGCTAATTATGTTGTTGTTTTCATATTCTGCCAAATTAATGTAAATGTTTGATGTTAAACTTTGATTCTGTAAAATAAATGACCGCATTCATTTTGATGGGTCAAAGATAAATAACGTCTCTCGTTACATTTCTGTTAAATTCAATGCACGCATGTTACACAGTCCAGAAAAATGAAGAACCCGTTTAATGTATGAATATATCTCAGTATATGTCATACTACAGCAGGGTTGATGGAGGAAGACACTGCTCTCCAAAAAGAACATTGTTGCTCATCTGCAGTTTGCTAAAGATCACATGGACAAGCCAGAAGACTGTTGGAAGAATGTTAGGTGTATGAATGAGACCAGAGCAAAACTTTTTAGTTTAAATTAAAAGAGTTATGTTTGTAGAAAGGAAAACAGCATTCCTGCATAAGAACCTTATCCCATCAGTGAAACATTGTGGTGGTAGTATCATGGTTTGGGCCAGTTCTGTCCATGAACTGAACCTCAAGAGAAGGTGGGTCATGCAACAAGACAATGACTCTAAGCACACAAGATGTTCTACTAAAGAATGGTTCAAGAAAAATAAAGTTCATGTTTTGGAATGGCCAAGTCAAAGTCCTGACGTTAATCCACTCCAGATGTTGTAGAAGGACCTGAAGCAGCAGTAAATGTGAAGAAACCACCAACATCCAGAGTTGAAGCTGTTTTGTATGGAGGAATGGACTAAAACTCCTCCAAGTCGGTGAACAGGACTGATCAACAGTTACTGGAAGCGTTCAGTTGCAATTGTTGCTGCACGGGTGGGTCTCACCAGGTACTGAAAGTAAAGGTTCACATACTGTTACCACTCACTAATATGTAATATTGGATCGTTTTCCTCAATAAATAAATGACCAACTATATATTTTTTCTCATTTGATTAACTGGGTTCTCTTTATCTACTTTTAGGACTTGTGTGAAAACCTGATAATGTTTTAGATCATATTTATGGAGAAATATAGAAAATTATAAAGAGTTCTCAAATATTCAAACACAACTGTAAACAGACTGCAGGTTCTAAAAATGGTACAATAAACTTTTATTTGTTTGGCAAAGTGGTTGATGGTTTGCTCATTTTGAGAACCCCAGCAGAATAAGACATGCTGGAGAAATTTCAGAAACTCACTCACGACTACCAGCCACTCAGAGCCCAGGAGGATACCACCTTTAATGTGCCTGTGATATCAAATTGTCATAATAAATATTAATGCATTTTTGAAAAGATAACATTAATCAACATTAATCACATATTGCAAAGTTGAACAGTTGCTGAGATATTTGTATGTGCAGTAACAGGAAGTGATGTCAGTAACAGGAAGTGATGACAAAAGGGAACAAAGCATTGCTACAACAGCTAACAACACAGACAGTAGAAAAGAATCTGATGTTTCTTTAGATTATTTAAAGTCACTATCGTAGAGACGAAGAATGGACTGTACTTATATATCACCTTTCTATCTAGTCAAGGTACTCAAAGCTCTTTACAACACAACCTGTGCCCTCATTTACCCATTCATGTACAGCACTCTACTTCTACAGTACTAGATCTAGTACTAGTACAAGGCTCATCTGAATCTGTAGAGACTAATAGGAGCTTTAGATCACATTCATACAACAATGGGACACACATCAGAGGCAATGAGGGGTTCAGTATCTTGCTCAGGGACACTTTAACACGTGACTGACTGCTGGTGGAATCGAACCCCCAACTCTCCCCTTGGAGGACGACCGCTCTACCACTCATCCACAGCTGCCCCTAGAGCCCTGCCCCCTGAAGAAGAGTCAGAGTTCAAATAAGATTGTTTCAATGAACAATGACATGGAAGGTCCCCTTTTTAACGAGTTCTTCTTTTACATCACTTCCTGTTTGCCTTTGGCTGTGCCATGTTTAAAAGAAAATGTACATTAATATGACAAAATTTGTAAATATGTTTTATGGCAAATATCTTAATTAAATATGTTTTTCTCCACTTCTTGTGCTTGTAGGACATGCAGCTCTTTGGGCTGTTGGAGAATCAACTTCACTCAGTATTACAAAACAAAATGTTGATTTTTTCTTACTCTCACCAAGTTTTGAATGACCAGTACGCTCTGTGGCTGCTTACTGAGCGACCATGTTTTGATAAATTATGATCTTATAGCATTATGTCCTGGACTCAATGAAGACACTAAATAAAAATAAAGGTCCAGAAGTTTTAAAAAAGATTAAGTGGCCTTTTGTTTCTTTTTATTATTTTATAAACTTTGTTAAAGACTCATTATCTCTGCCTCTCCTTACTAAATAAAGACATTCCAGCTAATGAAGCATTCTGTTGTTGGTTGCGCCGTATGTGCTTGATGACCTGAGAGCTCATTTCAGCTCCAGCTTTTTGTTTGTCACCATATCAGACACCACAGACTTGTTGTTTACTGCCCCCATCCCTGAATGTTATTAACTATAACACTTGTATCCATGGTGCCTGCCCCCACCCCTGTATGTTATTAACTATAAGACTTGTATCCATGGTGCAGCACAACTCCAGACAACCCAAGTCCACAGTTGCTTCTTGAGCAGTGAGCAGGACTGATAAACAGCTCAGCGTTTGACAGTTTACTTATTTCCTTTTTTCTCTCAGATGGTCCCTCATCAGTTAATTTCAACATGGCGGGCTTAGAAACACAGCTCTTTGGGGAAATGTCATTGTAAATCAAATCCCAGGTCCTTTTAGATAAACAGTTCCTTTCACCCAGGAGCACGATGTCTGTTTGTCAAGATTATTAATTATTCAAATCCTGAACACCCCCTGGAGCAGTGGTTAGAGCTGGACCATCATAGCCAAAAGGTTGCAGGTTCACCTCTGGGCCTTTCTGTGTTTGCATGCTCTCCCCATGCATGCACGGGCTTTCTCCAGGTACAGTACTCTGGTTTCTTCCCCACAGATTAAAAACATGCATAATCAGTTTATTTGTAACTCAAGGTCGTTGTGCATAGTTGTCTCTTTGTGTCCCTGTGACAGACTGGAGACATGTCCAAGTGTACCTCACGGCAGGCTGGACACTAAAGAGTGCAAGAAGGACTTGTACCGATTGGCAAGACAGAGGGATCAGGCTGGAAAGGATGTGCAGCAAGTTAGGCTTGTTAACGGTAGGAATGGTAATGTTTTAACAAGTGAGGAGAGTGGGATGGTAAAATGGAAGGAATACTTTGAGGAGCTAATGAATGGAAAGAGCGCAAGAGAAAGAAGCATATCTGTCATAGAAACTGTGGACCAGGAAGTGGGAAAGATTAGTGAGGGTGAAGTTTGGAAAGCTCTGAAAATAATGAAAAAGGGGAAGGCAGTAGGACCTGATGACATAAGATTGGAGGTTTGGAAATGTCTTGGAGAGATGGCAGTGAGGTTTTTGACTCAAATATTCAATGATACTTGAGGGTGAGAAAATGCATTAGGAATTGAGAAGTGTGCTTGTGACCATTTGTAAGAACAAGGATGATATACAGTGTTGTAGCAACTACAGGGGAATTAAGTTGACAAGTCACACAATGAAGATCTGGGAGAGAGTTGTGGAGGCTAGACTTAGACGAGAGGTGACTGTGAGCAGCAGTATGGCTTCATGCCAAGAAAAAGCGCCACAGATTCCATATTTCCTTTGAGGATACTGATGGAGAAGTACAGAGAGGGTCAGAAATAACTCAACTGTGTCTTTGTGGATCTAGAAAAAGCATATGACAGAGTGCCGAGGGAGGAGGTGTGGTATTGCATGAGGAAATCTGGAGTGGAAGAGAAGTATGTTAGATTGGTACAGGGCATGTATGAGGACAGCAGGACAGTGGTGAGATGTGCTGTAGGAGTGACAGATAGCTTCAAGGTGGAGGTTGGATTGCATCAAGAATTGGCTCTGAGGCCCTTCTTGTTTGCTTTGGTGATGGACCGACTTAATAGATTAGGTCAGGCAGGAATCCCTGTGGACTATGATATTTGCAGATGACATTATGATCTGTGGTGAGAACAGGGAACAGGTGGAAGAGAACTTGGAGAGGTGGAGGTTTGCACTTGAAAGAAGATGAATGAAAGTCAGCCGTAGTAAGACAGAGTACGTGTGTGAATGAGAGGGAGGCCGGTAGACCAGTGAGGCTACAAGAGCAGAGATCACAAAGGTGCAGGACTTCAAGTACTTGGGGTCCACTGTCCAGGAAAATGGAGAGTGTGGTAAAGAGGTGAAAAAAATAGTCCAGGTGGAGAAAAGTTTCAGGAGTGGTTTGCAACAAAAAGGTGGCAACAAAGATCAAAGGAAAAGTTTACAAGACAGTTGTGAGACCAGCTATGTTGTATGGTCTGGAGAGAGAGACATGGACAAAAAGACAGGAGATAGAACTGGAAGTGGCATAAATTAAGTTGAGGTTCTCCTTAGGAGTGAGAAGGATGGATAAGAGGAATGAGAACATCAGAGGTACAGCACAGGTTGAACAACTGGGAGATAAAGTTAGAGAGGCCAGAC